GGAACTAAAATGAGTTCATGAGAACCTTTTTACCCCCTTTTCCGTCCCTGCTAGAGAGCAGGGACTCTCATGCGGCTCTCTTGTGAGAAAAGAGCTATATTTCTGATTGGCTGGGCGGATTGCAAACCACGCCCCGTAAAACTCAAAAAAAGTGTTGTGAAGCCACCATTTTATTAGCATTAGCCCAGCGCAGAAACGCAGAGAGACTAACTTATGGCAACACAAAATAAAACATGGGAGCGGTGGAGATGAGGAGGTGTCGGCGTTCTGGCGATTTACTCGGAAGGCTTCAGTAGAAGCTGCTGGGAGTCCCAGCAGCTTCGACTGAAGCCAGTCCCTAACTCCGGGGACTTCCGGCCGGGGATTTCAGGTGGCAGTATACGCCGTGAAGTTGTTTGCGGCCTGCCAGTAAACCCAAAGCAGAAGAAGAAGAAGTGACGTCAGCGGCTTCATTTGCCTAATCCTCCCTCAGAGACTTATACCGGTGTGAACGTGATCGGCTCTTAGTTCCATGGGGGTACTAAGTGCTGGCAACTAAGTGCTGGGAACTAAGTACGGCAAAGTACTTGGTGTGAAAGTGGCTAAAGGTATTCTTTTCAATTACAAATAAATGGTTAGTTCTAAGAAAAGAAGGAAAATTGATGAAAATGGTCTCAATTGTGACATCCAAAAAAGAAACACAGTTAACGGAGGAAAAAGTGTTAGTAACCTCGGGGAGAGCAACAGAGGGAGTATTAATAGGGCTACATCTGGTTCATATTCACTTACAAAACTGCTCTTGTGTTTCCTTCATAAACGCCAGTGTCAAATTCGCTCTGATCCCATTTCTGTGCAGAAGCCCGGATGGAGTGCTGCGAGGTGGAGCCGCGCTACACCCTGGAGCAGATCGACCTCCTGCAGCGCCTGCGTCTCTCCGGCATGACCAAGCCTCAGATCCTGCACGCGCTGGAGTCCCTGGAGAGGCTGGACTCGGACCACCGCCCGCCCTCAAACTGTGACTCCCAGCCCACCCCCTCCACCACCACCAACAACAACAACAGCAACAACAACACCACCACCACAGCTGTTCCGGCTCCTTCCTCTTCCTCGTCTTCCGCCTCCTCGCTGTCCCTCGCCTCGGCCACCACGCAGACCTCCGGGCTGGACGGAGCAGCGTTGTCCCCCAGTAACAGCTACGAGGCCTCCCCCCCACCTCTCTACCCCCCCAGTGTGGCGGTGCAACGCTCGTTCAGCTACGACATGATGGGCGAGGAGGAGTGGGACCTGGAGGAGAAGGTGGAAGAGTACATGAGGTGAGGAAGAGTTGGGAGAGATCTTAGCTTGGGCCAGTTGAAGAGTCCGGACCTCCTACTTAACACGTTAACTTATTTCGTAGGACCTTGTTAGTTTTGTAGCACGTGAGAGGGGAGTTTTTCCTTTTGTCCATTTTCCTATCTTAACTTCGCACCCCATTCATTTCAGAGACATTTTACCTGAACCTACTGAAGGTGGTATTTTCATTTTACCTTCAAACTCTTAATTCCACAGTTTGTGAGGCCTTCTTTCTAACCTGATTCCCACACAATATGCTCTTGACATGAATTACCTGTCACTAGTCCTTTACTACTACATTGCATAACATTATATTTCATGCAACATAAGTCCCTTAGACACCAAGCCGATTTCGGCCGTCGATAGTTGTCGGGCCGTCCTCCGGTCCGTCCACCGGCCATCACACATAAGCAGTAAGTTTTCTCCGGTTGTTCGCGCATATATAGAATCATGACGAACTATACTAAAAATAAGTATATCGATATTATACAACGTAAAGGTAAGTCGAGATCGTCAGAATTCTTCGAGTACCCCAAAGGGCTTGGACACAGCTCTCGACTTTTAGAGTTAAAACGGAAGAAATTATCAAAACAACCCAGGGAGTGGAGGCAAAGCTAAGAGGTACCGTGACTAATGCGATCGAACTTGTCCCGGTAGTCGTCAAAAAGAAACTTGGCTGCCGGAAAATCCGCTCTCGTTGGAGGGGCTAGTTGTACAACTCTAACCGCAGCCCGTACCGGCCTTTCCGTGCTGCCCCGCCTCGTGTGGTTAGACTCATCCGCGCTGANCTGTAGTGAGTACAACTCTAACACAGAAAATACCTGTCTATGCTGCCCCAGAACGCCTCGTTGGAGATTTTTCTTTTTCCATTTTTTTCTTCCTGAGTATAGTGACGTGACCATACCCAGGTCCAAATGGACCAATCCGTGGACGTGGACACACACACACACACATCTTTTCTCAGCAGCGGCTCCGAGGATTTCTCAGCCTGAACTCAGCCTGAGACAGCGAAACACAGTTTGTGTGTGTGCTCAGGCTGGGTTCCTTGGTTTCTCGCTGTCTCGCAGACCCCACGCAGCAACCAGGAAACGACACCAGTAAGCCAACTCACACTGTCAAGCAGCGAGCGAGCAGCAGCGAGCCCCGCAACGTCCCGCCAACACGGCACCCAGACCCCACGCAGCATTCTCATCTGTTTGTCATTATTACTGGTGTCCTTTTCTGGTTGCTAACAAACTTAACAGGTTAATCAATCCGTTTGCAGTCAAGACATTTCTGTGTTGATCTTGACAGTTGGCAGTGTGAGTGGACCATTGATTTTTCATGTTTATAAAAATAGGAGCAACACACATTTCATGAGGTTTAACCACTAAGTGTCGTCCGCATACACTTAATGAGAAAAAGCCTTCACAGACCACAAAACACTGCCCTTCAAGTGGAAAATGGTTTGCTGGCATTCCAAAACCTTTCTACCCTGTCACCTGGTTTCTGTGGCCAATCAGGAAGGAGCTCTGGAATTAGTGCTACTTTGACACATTACACATTAGGAATGGGGAAAATGGGCTCCATGGCATGGGCCTGTGACACGGAGCTTGGACCCTCATGTGGCCCCCATCCAAAAGAATAAATCTATGATAATGCAATCAATGTGAAATACTCAGTTACTGTGCTGTAACCTGAGCCAAAGATAACATGGATTTTTTTTTCAGTAATGTATTTATTAAGTAAGTTACTGAAACAAATGCTGTGAATAAAACAACTCCCAACAATTCTTTGGCTGCCTAAATAATGTATTTATTACCCCAAACTTATTTTTATGTTATATATCTTGCGCCAAAGTAACTAAGAAAATAAATACAATTGTCAAAGTAAATTACACAAAATCTGTTACTAAATCAAACACCAGTAAAAAGAACAAAACACAAATGGTAAACTCAATGTGACACCACATGAAAATCCAGGATATGTTCTCTAGGTACCCGAAACATTTTCACCTTATTGAATGCAAATCCATCAAAAAGGCATTTCATAATATTAATATTTAAATATTTCAGTCTGAAGGGTTTACAGTGCCGTGAGCCATCTTTCTGAATGGCTCATAAATACTTGAGCTTAGTTACTTGTGGCACTATTAAGTTATATTCCACACAGACAGTTTTATACTAAATGTAAATCATCTCTGAGAATGAATAGCATAGTGTCCTCATTATCCTTTTGAGTTGTTAATGTCAAGCTGAAAGAAATGGCTATTATCTGAGAAACGTAAATTCATGACTCACTCCATCAGACTTTTGCATTATTCATACAAACAGACAGGACAAGTACAGCCTTCCCAACACAAAAACTGAAAAACATTTATACATTTCAATGCAGGTAAGTGAAGTGAATTAACAAAGCTAACTCTCTTTCATCATAATTACATTTAATCAAACCAGGAATGAAAATTGATCAATCAAGAGCTACAGTTATACTAAAGAACATCTTCATCACCAAGGGAGAACTAATTGCTGGACAGCTGGTGAGTGCCTATTGGCTGAAAGACAATCAACACGCTCACATACAATTGGATGACCCCCCTGTCTAAGGTGTTGTTACCAGCCAAAATTGACCTGTTGCTAGGGAGAAAAAAGCACCTGCTCTGTTCAGAGGCTTTTGTCGTGTAGTTCATCTTTTCTTTCCAAAAAATATTTGTTACTGTGTTTAATGTTTTTTTTTAATTAATTTTTTTTAAAAGATGGTCATTAGATTTGGACAATGAAATGTAATTAAAGGGATAGTTAGCATTTAAAATTAATGTTCACCTCCTTTATTGCAATTTCTTAAAATATTGAATACAATTTACACAGATATTACGCATAAAGTTTTGTTGTTAAAAATCCTTGCTAACATGCATCCATCATTTATTTGGGCTGATTTAAGTTGTGCTTTTAACAGTATAATTAATCTTGGTGAGGAGGATTTATTGCTGCCACACCCTGTTATCCGCTCTGAGCCCCAGCTGTTATTATAGTTTCACCTGTATCAGTGTTGGACTTTGCTCCGTATTCCTACTGTAACATCATAGCAGCAGGCCTCAACAATAAACTGTATATTGCATCTACATAGTCCTGAAATGTCAATATAGTGAATAATTGAATAATCTGTGCACATTAGATATAATTTCTGGCTCAATTTCCTTAAATGGTCTGCAAATTTTTTTAATTAATGCCTAGAAGTGAACAGTCTACACAGTGATCAAGCAGGCTAGCATTTCTGCAATTGCACTGTTGTTAAATAATTCCAAGTTAAAGTAAAGCTTAATTATGTACCTCATTTTTTAAATAAATTAGTTTGAATGAAGTCGAGCCAGAAGATGGGCGTGGTCCAAACAAGTGTCATAGTATCAACCCTGGAAAGGTCACTTTACAACCCTGGAAACCCCTTGCCTTTGCAGCTGTTGTCCTCCTACAATGATGGTCAAAAGCAACGTCTTTGTACTCATTATTTTTGATTTATAATGAACAGAATGTGATTTCACGCTAAAAAATACCCTCAATGGTGACAGCACCACAGTCATCTACTTATCATAAAGATTTAAAATGAGGTCTGCACTCTTCGCTTGCCTTTCTAGTTAATTCAAAGTAATTGTTTGCCGCCCTAATAACATCTGTTGCCTGCAGAATATGTCCACCATATGAAACTAAATATATTACTTTTAACATTTGTTGATTTCTCTCTTCCACTCTCGTCCACACTACACTTCAGCATCACTTGAGAAGCTCTTTGGAAAAGCCAGCTCTCTTCAGCCTTTCAGTCTTAGTGCAGGGTGGACGTGGAGATGTGAGATGAGGGGTCCAATCAGCAGCCACGAAGCTAACAGCTCTCCACATCGGGCCCTTCTCTGGTTCAAGGACTGGCTGGCTCCTGGATTGATGGGGATTTCCATGAATAATTTAAGCCGCATTAAAGTGGAAGAAAATGGTGACTCATGGAAGAGGAAAAGTTGAATTGCTAAGTGGTTTACAGAGTGCCGCCCTTGTCTTCAGGCAGTGTCTGCATGGCTTCCATGAATGGCTTCGAGTGCTGGAGATAGTACTGAAGACACATCTTGCTGCATAAAGTACAAATGAATAAATTGAATATGATGTGTAGTTATAATGGACATCTGTATTTGCAGGATTTTACCTATTATACTCACCATTTCTGTGTTTTAAACAAGGTAATATAAATATACATGTCTGAAATCAGGCTGATTATTTCTGATAGCCGACTATTATTCACCACAGGTCTGGGACCACAGGGGGTAAAAGGCACCAGTTCACGTCCACCCTGTGTAACTATACAACATGCTTGAGGATCAGTGCATAGCAGAGCGCTCTATAAATACATCTCCCCTGCAGCTTTGGAGTCGAGAGTGGAGTTAGTATGTGCGTTAGTGGGCTGGCATGCAACATGAATGACTGGAAGTTGACAAGGAGGAATAAAAAGAAGTGATGAAAACCAGCAGCCATTTAAAACGTCAACAGCTTTCATTTCATCCTGCATTGACTGATGATTAACTGGAGGGAGTTGGGCAATAACAAACAAAACATCATGCAGTATTATTAGCTCCACACTGTACATGCAGCTTATTGATTGCAACAGACACAATTGGTGTGGTGATGTAATTGCCAGTGTCTGACCCAGGCCTAGTTCCATACTCGCATCCTGACCATGTGTGTTTTTCTACCTACAGTATATGTACAGTGCATATTTTGTACTATGTGGAAATGGGCAGGATGTCATAAAATCAACTATACAGGACACATTACTCTACTGGCCTTGAAGGACTTGCCTACAAAACGTGGTGAACCTAATGGTGAGAAACTACAACAACACATTACTTCAGTATCAGTTATACACCAGCCTTTCTTATTTAATTCCAGTCCATGTTCTCAAGGTTCTTTTGTTCATTTATTATTCATAGCCTAAAATATATTACATCTTTCTCCTAAATGCATGGCTTCAGGATTTCCAGAGTTTAAATTAGCACACAAATCCTAATCTGTTTCTCTAGAGTCCCATTAAATCACATGTATCTAATAAAAGGGAGACATGAAAACGGGATCCTTGCTTACACTGTCTTGAATTATGTAACTCTTCTTAAGGCATCCTGGCAGTGATAAAACCTGAGTCCCTGTAGAGCGACAGCCATGCATCAGTGTGGACAAGAGAATAGCAGAAACTGCTCCAGTGATAAAATGTTCCTTAAGCCAAAGGAATCCTAGTATAGCATGTCATTACGTTGTCAAAAGTGTTTTAGAAAAACAAAAAATCACAGTCAAATACCAAATTATAGTTTGTCATAAAAAGGTCCTGTAAAAAGACATACTTGATTATGTCGTTAAGTGAAAACTAGAAGGGGCCCCTCGAAGAGGGCAGACCACCGCCAAGGCCCTGCCCAATAACTCTGCATGGGACTGTTTTCTTAATCTACATCATGCAGCTTGCATGTCTGCTCCACCAGGTCCTGCAAACATTCTGACATTGCATACATACATACTGCCCCCCAGTAAAATGGGATTCTTTATTTCTCCACATTGGTTTTACTGATATTTGTTTGTTGGTGAAACAGCGCCCCTGCAGGAACAACAGTTCAGGCAGAGCGTGGTACTGCAGCATGGGAGACATTGAAATAGATTTTACAGATATTTAGACGAAGTTATGTACTAAATTGATTAGGGAAAAGCTGCTACCATCAGAAGATATAAAGGTAATGGTAGAATGTACCGTTGGACTGATTTTCTTTCTGTTGAGAGAGGGGTGAATACCTGGATGGAATAAACAGAAACTGTAACACATGGTTTTTAGTAGATGATGTGTTACAATAACAGGAGATACTCTGTTAATACAGAAAAATATGACATTTTATAGCTAGATTTGGTGTGTAATTATACTGCTTGTTGTTGGAAATACACTTGATTTGGTTTCAAGTAGACAATCCACTTGTGTTTCTTGCCTCCAGGGAATTGAAAAAACGTTTAGTTTTAAAGTTAGTATACCCAGCTTTCAGTTAACGTTATATATCCAGCATCTAGGGCAGTACTTCTCAAACTTTTTCAGTAATGTACCCCCTTTGAAAAAAATTCTCAGCCAAGTACCCCCTGACCGACCCTAATGTTCCATCAGTGTGTGATTTATTAACTCCTTCATGCATGAATTACAACAAACTAAGGATATTTTCATAAAGATGAAAATATCCTTAGTTTGTTGTAATTCATGCATGAAGGAGTTAATAAATCACACACTGATGGAACATTAGGGTCGGTCAGGGGGTACTTGGCTGAGAANGAGAACAAGCGTCGTCGTCCATTTCTGAACATTTAGGAGCAACCCGGAAGGCCCTTTGGCCCGTAGAATACAGGGGAACTATGCAGTCAGCTATTCAAGTTGACAAATAAATAGTATACCGTAATTTTCGGAACTTAACCGCGCCTTTTTCTTCCAACAACCCATATTTCCGACCGCTGGCGGCCTGTATATAACGGTAGGGCTAATCGGATTGTTTACAGCTAACGGCCAACACCTTTAACTCTATGCGGCTCTCTGATGGCGCCGGTCGCGCGGACCCTCCCAGCCTTTAAGCGGCACTGCGGTTCCGAGCAGGAAAAATCTGTTCTAGGCCGGAAAAGAGTGAGACAGGTAGCGCGCAAAAGTAAAAGTGGAACCGAGAGTGGTATGCCGCTGCTGCGGCTTATATTCAGGTGCGCCTTATAGTCCGAAAATTACGGTAGTGCTAATGTGAAGGAAAGCACCCATAGACGTGTGTATCCTCCGGTTTGTTTATGTACATCTCTAGGCCCAAACGCAGGTTCAGTCTGCTTCCCTCTTTCCATTATAGTGAGATCCACTTTGAAGTGCAGCTTCGCAGTCATACAAACGTACAGGAGCTTAAGCTTTAGCTTATTCCAATAAAACACAAGGTGCTTTTAGCATGTAGCATTATGTTTTTGATCACATTTGTTTTAGCGTTCTTTCCAACGTAAAAATAAAAAACTATCTGAGTAGACTTATGAGTGTAGTCTAGCTTCACTGGCTGAGTGGAGGACGAGGATTATAATACAAAAGAAATGAGCGAACAGCAGCATCCAGTATAACAAAGAAGACAGATCCAAGAGAGACTACGATGTATTGTCCTAGGCTTGTTCCGCTAATATAAAAAGGTATAAATAACACTTCCTGTTTGGTTAAGATGAAGAAATTAAAGCGTGTTTTTAGACAATTCTTCACTGTCTTGATCCACCGTTTCTTTTGGGATTTACCTGAGATTCCAGTTTTCCCTCAGGGCTTTTCTGACTTGATAGCAACAGCACGTTATCGACTGATTGGATCAAATCGACTGATTGAGGCGGGGGTCAAAGACGTTCAAGCAAGCAGAGGGCGTTCAAATCACCATAGACTAGAAGTAAACAAACTCTCTCCCCACAGCAACACACACCTGACCTGCAGGCTCAGCACTCTCACCACAGTCCAAACAACCACTCTGTGAAAAGGCAAAAAGAAGGCATGTAGCGAGAGAAAGAAAAGCTTAAAATGGGCGAGGTATCCTTTAGATAATTCTCCCTCTAAGGAATTGTAATACCATCTTGGAATGCACTATATATGGATATATATATACTGTATATTGCCATTAATATAAGCAGGATTACTGTTGATAAATACAGTGGCCTCCTTACCATCAGGAGCCCCCTTCTCCCTTTCATTTATTGGGTGCCAAAGCCCCCCAAAGGCCCTACATGTGAGGAGGAGGAGACACTTATTGTTTTCCTATTTCATCCGATTAAAGTGTGACGATCCAACCAGCTTTTGGTCACTCTTCGTCCACACTCTCCCTTTTTGAATCCTCCTCTTTCAGATCCAGAACCTGAGCGGGCGGGCTCGGCAGGGCGGTGACCTCTGCAGGAGCCAATGAGGAGGGGTCCTGTTGGTCAACCATCCTGTGGGAGGGGGTATCTTCCTGTGGGGAAAAGTATGGAAGTGTTAGAAAGCCCACAAGTTGACATCATGAGTTGATAAGTGTTGTTTGTTGATGTTATAAGTATGTGTTTGCTAGCAGTGCTGGATGCTAGTGGTAGCTTAGTTGCTAACTTCTCTGTATTAGTGTATTTCACTTGCTTGTCTAATTCAATTGTATTGCTTCTATAATTTTTTTCTTAAAAGATGATTGTAATTGTTACACACACACACACGGCTAACAGCGTGAACAAAGTATATTAAAGATCTGAACCGGGAAAGTCTGTTCTCTGTGTTCTTTTACACACCCATCCACACCGTGCCATCTCTAGAACCCAATTTCCTGGAGACCCCATCTCCTTTATAGGAAGTGTAAGGAAAACATTTGGATTTACACTTTGTATGCAATTGTTTAGAAACACAAGGGGCGCTGCTATTTCTGTGCTCAATGCGGTAAACTGGCTCCTATGATCAGCTTGCTCTTTCCTGGCTTTCACGCAAACATGTGCAACAACACTGGAAACCTGCGGCTTCTACGACAGTTAACTTTATGATACATTACCCTTTCAACTAGTGATGTGTTTCTCAAACTTGTTCATACCAAGGACCACTTAACCAATAAAAAACACTTGCGGACTACCTAACTCCACAAATATCCAAAATCACATCGTTTTTCTAGAACAGATTACAAATCGCCTGAAAATGGTACAAAGAAGTGGCAACATGTGTGTTGAGGGTTTCAAGACTAAAAACACTCAACATAATACCAGAAAAAACATCTACTAAAAAAGTAAACTATAGTTAGTCGAGCGGATTTTAGAGCGCATTCACGCGTCGCCGTCGTTTACCAGGTCTTGAGCCAGGACCATTGTCCGGGAGTTCTCGGGAAAGAACAACCGCCGTCTCTACGAGTATCTTTGTTTACCGCCGTGTGAAGCGTGCGTGATTTTTTAAAGGTACGCGAGCGGCGCAGTGTAATACGACTCGGGTGCATGTGAATTTGGGCGACGATACTGAGGTAGGATCTCCCTTTGTGACGTCACGAAGAGTTTAGACACCAGGCGCCCTGATGACCCACCAGGTACTCGCAGGGGATCACACGGGCACTCATATAACCATTTTACAGTGTAAACTTTATTTATATTATTTACATTTCGAAAGGCGTGAGAGCGCCCCTATAGAGGCGTTACCTCGCTCGAATCCAAGGTGAAGCTAACGTACTATATCGG